CAAATCTCCTTAGGTTCTTTGCTTATAGAGACATCTAAATTATCTTGTAGGAGGCTGTAGTCAATCTGTTGTGATACATTATTTCATTGATGGAAAGGAAGAAAACCCAGCCCAAGACTCACACGGAATGTAGCTGGAAAAGGAAGCTGAACTTGTAATAGCCCTTTCAGATATTTGCGACTATTCTTTAATACTATACTAAAATTCAACAAATGATAATTTCTTGTTGCTCTCTGAAAATATATAAATGAATTTTTATGTTAAAATCCACTAGTCTATTCTATACTTTGGGCATTTTACCTAGGAATTATTTTTGACCTGTCTGATTCCCCAAAAATGTCTTTGGGACTTCCAAGGATCCTTAGACTACGTTTAAGGGCTGCTTTTGGAAAAATAAGGGATTGTGTTTAGGATTGAGTTTAGGATTAATCAATGAACCCACAAAGAAGATGAACAGACTTGGATGTACCATATCAAAATTTAATGTCTTATTTTTAAAAATATAGCACAAATTAAATGTAAAACAAAATTAAGAAAACATATCAATACAAGAACAACACATGGTTAAATAATTTTAATATTCAAATAACTCATACAAATAGGTAAATAAAGAACTAATATCACATAGATTAGTATGGACTGGACATAACCACTGAAGTTTATAGGTTAAAATGGTATTAAAAATAACAATAAAGACATAAAAATTTAAAAGACAACCTAAAATAATCTATTAGAAATGACCGATTAGCAGGTAAAAGGATAATGAACTGATATTTTAACAAATTATAGTTAGAAACATGTTTTACTACAAAATTTGAGGAAACAGTTGAATAACGTGTTAATTGCCTTAAAAATATCCATGTCCTTCATTCCCTGATCATTTATGTTTACAGAATTTATTTGAAAAATGCTTTGCGGAAGAAAATGCTTATGGTGATGTTATTTATTATAGAAACAAGTAGGAAATGATTACATTAATTATGGTTTAATCTTCCCAGCAGAAGATTAAACAGCCATTGGAGGGCAAATTACTCACAATGAATATACAATAAAAAGAAAAAAATTATTATAATGTTAAGAGAACAAAAAACAGATTCAAAAACTGATTATTCAGGAGAATGAAAACTATGTTTAACAACAATAAAGAATATCTCCTATTTTTACTAGGGTAAAAGTACTGGGGAGAAGTCTAGTGAATCGATGACTGTCTTTGGATGTTAGAGTTCTGTTGTGATTTTTTTCCTTCTAGTTTTTCTGTATTTTCTACAATTTTTGTTGAGATCAGTTTTTATCATACAAAAGAATATACTCTTTACATTTAAAAATACATTATTATTATTATTATTACTATTATTATTTATTTGTGTGTGTGTGTGTGTTTGTGTGGCAACTAACACCAACCAAGCTTCTGGCTAAGATCCAGGAGAAAAAGCAGTGTGCTTTGAATCTCCTACTGGAGATGCTTTGCCTTCGTGGGACTCCCCATTTCTCTTCAAGATTCTACATTCTCTGCACCCACTTAGCTCTCGGCACCTTTCTTGAATTATAGCAGACAGTCCTGTCTTCTCTCTTCAAGAAACCACCATCTCTAGATTTGCAGATGAAGCTCATTTGACCTCACAACATCCAGGTTAGGTGGGATGGCCAGGTTCAATTCTGTCTGCCTGAGAGATGCAGCTGTTACAACACGGTAATTTCCCTTTTCCAGTGATCTATGTTCTCGTCTTGTGGCTGTTTTGTCTCCCTCTTGATCTTTCACTTTATCTGTTCTGTAAATAAAGATAGGAACTGTTTAGGCTGGGCCTGGTGATGTCCGCTTGCTCAGAGGAATTTTTGACAGAGCCGGCTCTAACATTCCTTTATGCCATTTGTCAGTATGGTGGCTGCTGCTGCATACTTTCTTTCTTGTCTCATCCCTGTTGCTGGTGGTAATTTTGTGACTGAGGACCTCTTGGAAGTCTCCCTTTCTTTGCTAGCTTGATGTATAGAAGAGCAGCATCTCCAAGTCATGATCACTGCCAACAGCAAGTAAAGAGGATGATGGGGTGGGGAGGGAAGGGCAGTGGTTTTCCCGACAGAAGGCCTATCCCAGTGCTGGCCCCAGCCCTGCCCCCAGTTCACAGCAGGGTCCCCTGTGACTGCTTCCAGAGTCAGTCGTGACCTCTCTAACCTCAGTTCCAGTAGAAGTAAAATTATAATGTTATAATGTTAAGTGAGCAAAAAATGTAGGATTGGGATCTCACAGGTCTGTTTCTATTTAAAAAATGGTAAGAGGGCACCTGGGAAAACCTCACTTTTTCCAATTTGGGGTCTCTTTCTCCAACTTTCCTGGTACTGAAATTGCCAAATCTCAAGCAATAGTCATAGCTATTGTTAAATGATGTATCTTTAATTGTAAGGTATTTATGTTTTGGATATGTAAATCTAAAGAAAGCATTTTGAAAATATCTTGAAGACATTTCAAAATAATACAGGGTTAAATAGATGTGGCTTGTGATGATTGAAAGTGGGTGTTACCCAGTAAAATATCTTCACCTCAGTAAAGTTGGTAGCTATCTAGCAACTACACAGCTTGGGAGATCCCTTCGTCTTATGGTTCCTGAACATAGTGATGAAAGGGAGATTTTGTGAAATGGTTTTTAGTTCTTGGTATAGTTTGTAGATCATGAAAACCTATCATAATGTGAATCCAGAAGGATACTGTAGACTCTGCTGCTTGAGGTCACACGTTGCTTCTCCTCAGTCCCACAACCACTGTGACCCCAAACACAAACACAGCCAAGTAAATGCACAACACTTGCTTTTTTCTATGTCTTCCTAATTAGTTGTTTTCAGTTTTTTTCTACCCTCCTGGCTGATGCTGGACAGAAGGAAAGAGAGAGAAAGGGAGGAAAAGAGGGAAGGAGGGAGAGAGGGAGGAAGGGGGAAGGGGAGGAAGGAAGAAAGGAGGGTAGGAAGGAAGGAAGGAAGGGGAAAAAAGAAAGAAAAGAAATTCACTGCCTTTGTTCTAACACTATCAGTGGTGTCCACAGGAACAGGAAATCCTTGCCCCTGTCCTCGGTGCTGCTGTGGCTATTGTCCCTGTCTCAGAGTTACATGTTTCTGTTCCACAACCTGAGTGTCCACCTTAGTTTCTTTTTTTTTTGAGTTGGAGTTTCACTCCGTTGCCCAGACTGGAGTGCAGTGGTTGCTCCTGGCCACCGCAGCCTCGACCCACTGGGCTCTGGTGATCCTTCCACCTCAGCCTTCCGAGTAGCCAGAATTACAGGCGTGTACTACCACGCTTGGCTGATTTTTTATTTATTTTAGAGATGAGGTCTCGCTGCCCAGGTGGGTCTTGAACCCACGGGATCAGGCAATCCATCACCTCAGCCTTCCAAAGGTGCAGAATTACAGGCTGAGCCACCGAGCCTGGCTCATCATAGTTTCTGCCATTAAGAGTACTTTCCATAAACCGTAATATCAGATATCAAAAGCTACATTAAAGTGGACTTATAGTAGTTTCTAAAATTTTGGCATATATATATATATGTAACTAGATATATATGTACATGTAAATAATAATCAGATTTAGAAGTCAATCATTGCCTAAGTTGAAAAATAGAAATCACCTGTCCAGAAAGAGTTAGATTTTCTCATCATCAATTATAAAATGTCTAAGTCTTCACTGCCAGAGTCCAGCTCCAGCAGGTCAGGGTTTCCTGAAAGAGGGATGGCGTCGACGCAGGAGAAAAAACTTGGACACTGACTCTGCTGCAAGCAGGACAAATGCCAATTTATTGTCTTTCCAACTCCTTTTATACCCTACATGTTTTTTGTTTCCAAGGCAATCAGTTACAATTTAATGAATCGGACAGGCAATGTATCTTTGTTCATCCTGTTTTGATCTTAAAACATTATCATCCTAAACTATAAATTTTATAAACTTCTAACATTTTTTAATGATTACATTTCTTAATGTTCATACAGAACTTACTTATTCCTATAACTATTACATTATAAATCACTACCAAGTTCTAAGCACTATAATTATCACATAGATTAACAAGTCACACCTGTGACCTTTACACAGCAATTTGCAACTAGCTGGGGTAAATAACATTTTCAAGGTTTCTTAGCTGCAAGTTGGCCTGCCTAGATTTCCCTAATTTCACACCTGGTGTTTACAGTCTGCGTTAATTATTTCCTTCCAGGGAGAATGAGCTTCAATGTTTGTAAAACAAAAGGTCTCCAGGGCTCAAGTCATCTCAGTTACAATCTCTAAACAGAATTACAAACCCCCTTAACAAAGGGAAGTAAAGGCAAGGGTACTCTAATATTTATGTGATTGTTAATTTCTTAACCATAATATACCACATGTAGAAATTAAGAAATTAAGTAAACATAATTTTTGTGTTGACACTCTTCCTAAAAATACAAACTGTAGCTTCTCAAATTTCTCCAATTAGTCACCAATCAGAAGAAATAAAATCTTACAAGTAATTATCTACCCACACATGATAGTTTAAATCTCTATTGATAATTTTCTGGCAAGGCCAGTGAGTTCCCTGACAAACATTAAATCAAGCACTTTCTGATTTTTTACAATTTTCCCAACTACAATGTTTAATCAAGTGATTGCGTGGTTTAATACCAGGAGGCTGGGGATGTGGAAACCTAGGGAGGAATTCAAATGAAGGGAAGGTAATTTTTCATGAATTCCCCTCTTGCCTTTTTGCAAGGGGTAGTGGAGGTGTGAGTGGAATTTTGCTTTCCATCCTTGGACTGTACAGAACTTTTTGACTGCACTAATAACAAAAGTAGAAGCAGCAAGTATCTCAGCTGCCCAGTTTCGCTTTGCGACCTGGGATCTTCAGCCCCTAGACTTTGTCAGCAGGCAAACCTCCATGACTGGCTCCCAACACTTCACTACAATATAATGGTTGCATTATTTTTAATGGCCTAAACTCTCCTTAAAGCATATTTCAAAAAATGATTTGGAACTAATCTTTCTATTGTAGAATTACATCATTCCTTCTGGTGACTTTTTGATGTTGTCTCCATTTTGGCTACATAGAAATCCAAAGTATTTTCCTGAACCTGAATTGTTCAAACCTGTAAGTTATCTCTTTCAGTATACATTATCTTTTAATTTTAATTTCTTTTTATGCCAAGAGTACGAATTCATAAATTAACTAGGACTATATCATTAAGCAACCATATTTCTATGGTAACTAAGAACAAAGTTGACTACAAAGAACACTACAGATTTGCAGTATAGACAGTGCAACATTTACAAATCATTTAGAAAAGTTTTTGGAAAAAACTTCCCCAACTTTAAAATAAATTTTATATGAAACCAGATGGGCATGTTAAAGTAAGTATGCCTAGTTCTGACAGAAGCCTTATTTTATGTTTTTCAGGCAGTTGTTTCTGTTATTGGTTTCCAGGGAATACAAAATAAAAATAAGCAAATTAAAACTACAATCTGGTATTTATTTATTTTTTGAGTTGAAGTGTCAGTTCATTGCCCAGGCTGGAGTGCAATGGCACACTCATGGCCACCCCAGCATCGACCTACTATGCTCTGGCATTCCTTCTGCCTCAGCCTTCCAAGTAACTGGAACTACAGGCATGGGCTACCACTCCCGGCTAATTTTTTTTAAATTTTTTATAGAGACAAGGTCTCGCCAAGTTGCCCAGGCTGTTCTCAAGCCTGCAGTCTCAGGCAATCCACTCCCCTCGGCCTCCCAAAGGGCTGGGATTACAGGCTGAGCCACCGAGCCCAGCCCAGTCTGCTATTTCTTAGAATTCGGGTGTTACAGTGGTGAACAGAATCTTAAGAGGTCATTTAGTTCATTCTCTGCTTGTAGGTAAAACTGTCAAAAATGGCATTCAGATGTATTCATTTTGCATCCCAAGCTTTTCCCAACAGGCAGGGCTGTCAGTGTCTTACTACTAAATTTATTACCAAGAGCAATTTATGACAGCGCCTGAGACCTTATTATAAATATTCTTCCTCTTCTTAGGTCAATTCTGCGGTTGATTTACATTATCATTTACATTTACCACTTAACAGAATTCTTTTTAAACCTTTTTATTTATAAGTTCGTGTTCCAAAAACACAATTGTGTCTGATATTAATAACAGGTTGGAAAAAATTACCAACAACCCTGCAACTTTATATGCAAGGATTAGCTGTACAAGGTCATTTTTAGCCTAGAGAAATAAAGTTAAGCTTATTTATATAAGGCTGATTTGGAAAAAAAAATGTTTTCTTCCCACAGGAACGTTGGGAAAAGGCAAATTTAGAGAAGCATGCGTTCTTGGACTGCTTCCTGGCATTTGGAAGCGGGAAGTTCCAGTGTCCTGGAAGGTCAGTGAGACAGTTGGGTCACATTTATCTAGAAAGTCTGTAGCAAGATGATGGCTCAGATGGGAAAAGTTTTGGCTTAATAGCTCTTTTTTAAAATTATCAAGCCGGGCTCGGTGGCTCCGCCTGTAATCCCGTGCCTTTGGGAGACTGAGGTGAGTGGATTGCCTGAGCCTGCGGGTTCGAGACCCGCCTGGGCAGCGAGACCTCATCTCTACAATAAATCAAAAAATTAGCCGGGCGTGGTAGCACGCGCCTGTAGTTCCACCTACTTGGAAGGCTGAGGCGGAAGGATCGCCAGAGCCCAGCAGGTCGAGGCTGCGGTGGCCGGGAGCGGCCACTGCACTCCAGTCTGGGCGACAGAGTGAGACTCCAACTCAAAAAAAAAAAAAAAAAAAATTATCAAACTATAGAGAAATCTCTGAGAGCACATTTTGTCTGGTTGGCCTATGGTATTGTGCAGTGTTTTTGTGAGAATGTCTAAAGTGGCTTCTGATGGGAGAGCTCATGAGAAGCAAATATTACATTTATAAATGCCAAATAGAAGCAACATTTATGGTTCAAGTGGTCAGCTTTCATATAAGAGTAATTGAGAGTGGTTTGAGTACTACCTTTTTTTAATAAGAGAATAATATTTCTTTAACTATACCATTCTCTTAGATGTGTGCTGGGGTTATGGAACATCTTTAACTTGGAGCTTAGCAACAGCTTACTAGATGGTTTTTGTTTATGAGATTAGTTTGGTTCTGTGAAAATTTTCCCTTGATACCTTTTATAGTTCAATTATTCTGACACCAAGGACTCCTCTTCCAGGGTGATACCCTGTTAGTACAAGTGACCATCATTTAATGGAAGTTATTTTCATGTTTATTTTTCAAGCAGAAAAAGTTTTGAACATCTCCCCTGTGCCAGGTCTCTGCTAAGCATCAGGGTGAGAGCACTAAGGGAGATGGGTATGGTCCCTGACTTCTTAGACCTCACATTCTACATGAACTATGTCCTATCTTTTCCTCGGGGATGATTCCCTTGGGGAAATGTCAGTACCTACTTGTAACAAAATCTTACTAAATAAATATAAAAATCCATTAAATTCTTACCTGAAAAATTGTAGTTTCTTGACTTAAGAAGTCAGCCATCTTTTTTTAAACAATAATGGAAGTCCATATTTACTATTATTACTTATTCCATGACATTCATTCTGTTCGCCTTTTTCATATGTCTTAGAGTATCAGTTTGCTTTTAGTAATGTACACCTCCCCCAAATGATATTAATTAGTAGCCAACCATAAACATTGTATATTCCTTTTAAGAAGTTGTTCTAGAAACCCAAAACAAAGTAAATTGGTGCTGGGTATTTCCCTGATGACAACTATTTGTCCTGAGGTAGGAAGTTGGCCTAAACTGGCCAATCAGGCTGAAAGGAGAGACTTTGCTTTCATGGTTAAGGAAGAGGTCCCCTCATCCCTAATCCTTTCCCACTGGATATAAAGAGGGAAACATGCAACCCCAGTTACTAGTGGCAAGTTCAAGAGGAACATCAAGTCCTGTGATGGTGCAGAGTCTGTGGATGGCAGAGCAGAGATATGGAAAGAGCCTGGGTCTATGTTATGTTATTGTGTCACTGAATAGGTAAATTTTGTGGAGCTTATCTATTTTCTGACATTTTAGTTAATAAAAGTCCTTATCATTTAAAGCAATTATAGTTGAAGTTTCCATTGTTTAGAGCTAAAAACATGCTGATATATCCACTATAAAACTCCGAAGTTAAACATTGTAATTGAGTGTCAGTTACTAAGGGGCCATAGCATGACACATAACATTAACAACAAAAGCCATCATGCTCATCCTGCCTCTCACTTTAGAGAAGCAGTTCTTAAACCAATAACCAATGTATTGTTTTTGTCACCTACTAAGAATCAGTGTCCTAAGTGTAGCTCTTTTAAAAGCAATGAATGTTACCTTTTTCTCAGACTCTTTTTCATATATTCATGGTAGCAACTGAAAAAATATATTGTAACTATCTTTGACATTGAGCTAGATTTTTTTTTTTTTTTGAGTTGGAGTCTCACTCCGTCACCCAGACTGGAGTGCAGTGGCCGCTCCCGGCCACTGCAGCCCCAACCTACTGGGCTCCGGTGATCCTTCCACCTCAGCCTTCCAAGTAGCTAGGATTACAGGCATGCACTACCACACCCAGCTGATTTTTTGATTTATTGTTGAGGTGAGGTCTCACTGCCCAGGCGGATCTTGAACCCGCGGGCTCAGGCAATCCACGCACCTCAGCCTCCCAAAGGCACAGGATTACAGGCTGAGCCACTGAGCCCGGCTGAGCTAGATGTTTTTTAAACCAATAACTTGAAATGTGTTGCAATGAAGCATATGGTATGAGCCAATTGTCAAGGATTACCTGATGACTGCTGTTTCTGTGATAGGTTATTACCACTTTCCAGAATAGCTTTTGAGGCTAACAGACATTTATTTGTATTTGAAAGTAATGGGTACAATAAAGGGGATCATGACACTGTAGCTTACTTAACTATTTAGGCAGAAACTATATATTTTTAGAATGCAGTGGGCTCCTACTATGTGCAAGGCAGTGTCCTGGATATTGCAGGGGCTTTGGACACGAGTACAACATATTCTCAGCTTACATGAGAAACAATTTAGGGGTAGGAGAGACATCGAGTTCGTAAATAAGCCTAAGGATTGCAGGCTGAGAGATGCCACACACCACACTGGAGATTCAAGAGAGAGAGTCAGGATGATCATAGATTTCCTGGGGAAAGTGGCCTTCAAAGGGCTGGAAGAACTTTTAGCTTGAGGCAACAGCGTAAGCATAGAGACTAGATTATGGAGAATGGTGAGGAGTAAGACTGAAAAAGTATGTTCGCCTATTTGGGAAGGCCCCAGAATACCTGATTTAGGAGTTTATATGCAGTTCACATGAAACTAATAACGTGTTAAAAGGTTTTAATAGAGTGAATTAGTTTGGGGCATGACTTAGGTTATATGGTCATGCTAATATTTCATGTGAGAGACTTGGAGTAGTAGAATCTACCAGATTTGGAAGATGATTAGAAATGGGGATCAGTTGAAAGGAAGGATTTGAAATGAATTGTGGTTTTGAATCTAGGGGACTGACAGAAGTAAAAATAGAGAAATCAGGAACAGGGGCAAGTTTGGGGATAAGATCTTAAGTTTTCCTTTGAAAACTGAGTCTGAGATGTGTCAAGATATATATCATTTAACCAAAATCTACCGATTAAAATTGAAGTTTGAATATAGATGACCTATTTTTAAAACTTCATTAGGTCTAGTTTTCTATTGTTTCTGTCTTGAAAAGTCTTTAATTTTTCTGTTACTTATTTTAAACAGCCAACTCATAAAACATTTTGTTTTTAAAGATAAATAAAATAGAAAATTGTTCAGGAAAGCAAATGACTTCATTTAAATCATGTATACTAAGATAGATATTTCCACTAGAAATTTAATCCCACAAATCCTTAGTTGTGATCCCCAGAAAACTGTACCCATTCTTAATCTGTGTACCAGGAGCCAATTTACTTTTCATGTCTCACACACTCAGTGAGTCAGAGAAAGTTGACTGTAATGTAACTGATGATCAAAGTTCATTATAAACACATTCTCTATGTCTTGCATCTGTCACCTCTTGTAGTTTAGGCCACTAAGGTGGTATAGGAGGCCCTCTCACAAGTAAACTCAAAAGAGGTTTTGCTGAGTTAACTAAATAAGTTCTCTGTGCTGCCATTGGCTGAGAACCAAAAATTAGAATGGATGAACTGTAGTGTCCTCTCCTAATAATGGGGGTTCTGCAAATAGTTTTGGGGGGAGGAGCCCCTTACTAGGCACTTTTCTGTAGCAGAGGAAGGGACATATTTACAGTAATTCTATTGCTGGAGAAGTCTGGTGGTTCACAGGAAAACAAGCAGGAAAAAGCAGCATGAACTACCAGACTTCTTCAGAGATAGCTTGAAAAATGAAGAATCTTATAATAGTGAACAGTCTTGTCTGAAACTATGAGATTTAAATGGAGGAAAAATATAGGATTTTCAGTGTTAAGGAGAACCTCCTCGTGTGGGTGTCTGAGAGTCAATGATGTTAGCACAAAGTGATGTGCTTGCTATACCCGCCTGATCTTCCTTGGTTCCCATTTCTGCCAAAGGATGCCTGGTTGGCGGTATCATTGTGCAAATTTATACGGCTTAAACGCCAGTGTAAAACAACAGCACTGATATATTTGGCAAGATTAATCGGCTTAAAAAGGCATGCTTGGATAAGAAGAGGGTATAATAAGAGTCAGCTGCAATACTTGAGAAGTGAAAATAAAGCATGGATTCCTCAGGAACAGAAAGTGTGATTTCTACTTTTTCTGTGCATTTGGATTCTTTCATATATTCTCAGGTAGTGCTAGGTCACAAAGTCATGGACTTGGGTTGAATTACTAATGGAAATCACACAATTATTGGAAAATAATTAAAAGCATAGGTCCATCTAATAATAGATTAGTTCTACTATTAAGCAACCTAACAAACATCTCTTAAGCACTTAGCAGTAATACAATAATTATTACATTCAGTAACTATTTATTGAGTGTGTGCTATGTGTCAGGGGAGGGCTCTAGGAGTTACTTTGGAAAACAAATCAGATGAAGCTCCTTCCCCTAAGGATCTTATATTCTAACACAAGTGACTTTGTTAAAAACTGTGAAGATTCAGAGATACATTCCTGAAGTATGTATAACATAAAAAACAAGCCTTACTTAGTGGGATAAGATGGCACATGAGAAATGCCAAAAGAGTCATGTATATAATAATTGCCATAAGAATTCAGAGGAAGGGGGATTATAAAAGGCCTTTGGACTAGAAGGGGAATGATCAGTAAACAGTATAGAAGAGAGCCCATCTTCCTGAGGTGCCATGGTATCAAACTTTGAGAAAAAAAAAATTAGATGCTCATAGGAATATACTATGTCTATATGTTTA